TGATACAGGCCAGGATGCTGTTGGCCTTCTTGGCCACCTGGGCACACTGCTGGCTCATGTTCAGCCGACAGTCGACCAACACCCCCAGGTCCTTTTCTGCCAGGCAGCTCTCCAGCCACTCTGCCCCCAGCCTGTAGCGCTGCATGGGGTTGTTGTGACCTAAGTGCAGGACCCAGCACTTGGTCTTATTGAAACTCATCCCGTTGGTCTCAGCCCATTGATCCAGCCTGTCCAGATCCCTCTGCAAGGCCTTTCTACCCTCCAGTGGGTTGACAGTGCCACCCAGCTTGGTGTCGTCTGCGAACTTACTGAGGGTGCACTCAATCCCCTTGTCCAGATCATTGATAAAGATGTTAAAGAGAATGGGTCCCAGTACCGAGCCCTGTGGGACACCACTCGTGACCAGCCACCAACTGGATTTGACTCCATTCACCACCACTCTCTGGGCCCGGCCCTCCGGCCAGTTTTTAACCCAGAGGAGAGTATACCCATCTAAGCCATGAGCAGCCAGTTTCTCCAGGAGGATACTGTGGGACACTGTATCAAAGGCTTTGCTGAAGTCCAGATAAACAACATCCACAGCCTTTCCTTCATCCAGCAAGTGGGTCACTTTGTCATAGAAGGAGATCAGGTTTGTCAAGCAGGACCTGTCCCTCATGAACCCGTGCTGGCTGGGCCTGATGACCTGAGCATCCTTCATGTGCTGCATAATGGCACTCAGGATGATCTGTTCCATGACCTTCCCAGGCACCGAGGTCACACTGACAGGCCTGTAGTTCTCTGGATCATCCTTCCGACCCTTCTTGTGGATGGGCGTCACATTTGCTAGACGCCAGTCGGCTGGGACCTCCCCAGTTTGCCAGGACTGCTGGTAAATGATGGAGAGTGGCTCCGCAAGCACTTCCACCAGCTCCCTCAGTACCCTCTGGTGAATCCCATCTGGGCCCATAGACTTGTTTGTGTCTAGGTGCTGGAGCAGGTCCCTCACCGCTTCCCTTTGGATTACAGGAGCTTCATTCTGCTCCCTGTCTTTATCTGCTGGCTCAGGGGTCTGGGTACTCAGGGGACACCCTACTCCACTACTAAAGACTGAGGCAAAAAAGGCATTCAGTACCTCAGCCTTCTCCTCATCCTTTGTCACTACGTTACCTCCCATATCCAATAGTGGAGGTTGTCCCGAGTGCTCCTCTTGCTACTAATATATTTATAGAAATTCTTTCTGTTGTTTTTAACATCCAAGGCCAAGTTAAGGTCAAGCTGGGCTTTGGCCTTTCTAATCTTTTCCCTACATAACTTTGCTACACCTTTATAATCTTCCTGAGTGGCCTGCCCCTTTTTCCAAAGGCCATAAACTCTCTTTTTTTCCCTGAGCTGTGACCCTATCTCTTTGTTTAGCCAGGCCGGTCTTTTCCCTCTACGGCTCACTTTACTGCGCAGAGGGACAGCCTGCGCCTGCCCTTTTAAGATTTCTTCCTTGAAAAACATCCAGCCTTCCTGGACTCCTTTTCCCTTCAGGGCTGCCTCCCAAGGGACTCTGTCAAGCAGACTCTTGAAAAGACCAAAGTCTGCCCTCCGAAGGCCATGATGGCAGTCCTGCTGGTTCCCCTTCTCACCTCCCTGAGAATTGAAAAATTTATCATTTCATGGTCACTTTGCCCCAGACAGCTTGGGATTGGGCTTGCGATTTCATAGATGACTTTTCTTGCAAGTCCAACTAACTGCTACAAAACTGCATTACTACTCCAAATACCTTAGCCTTTGCAGCAAAGAAAGCTTATAGAAAACTCTGTGTGACATCAGAATAAAAGTGCATTGCTGGCGCAATACATACTTAAAACATTTTAATATGTCTAATATTCAGTTTATAAAGAATATTCAATCAACACATAGTCTGAATTGTCTATCATATTTTTAATTATTATTAGCAGTTACTATTTATGTCGCTGTCCAGAATTCACTGTATTGCACGGGGTAATAGTTCAATGGCCAGACAAGTCTGGCAGTCCTTCTGCATCATCCTGGATCCTGGCCCCTGGCAAGCAACAGACCTCCATCACGTCAGGTCGGTAGATTAGTGCGACCATCCCCTGCAGAAGGGAGTCTCTTTTAACTATCATACACGTTTTCTCCTTCATTTTTTTAAACACAGTGCCCTTTAATACATCTCATCTTCCAAAATTTGCAAAAGACCATCTGTCCTTCTGGAACTCCACTTTCTGAAGTCTTCCATGACCTCATTGTTTTCATTTCTGATATTTTATTTTAGTGTAAGCACAAAAAAAAAGGGAGACTGTATTGTTGCACTTTCTCCTCGATTGATCCCAGTGCTTAAGCTAGTTTCTTTACAGATTCTAGAGGCTGTCCTGTACAGCAGCATGCTTTCCAAACTCATGTTCAGGTACCACATGAGAATGCAAACAGTTATTTGATAAAACATGTTTTGATTCATTTTATTTTGTTTTAAAATGGAGTGATACAGAATGCAAAATAATTTGAAAAATACATAACTGACAGGCCAATGGAGATTTTAAACTCTGCAGTCATAATTGTATGCGATCACTATACCAGGACAACATGGAAGTCACTATGGTTATTCAGAAGAGACAAGTGAATTTTATTCTATCAAATATATAGTTGGAGGGCAGCCTAAAATATCTGTGAATCCATGTCAGTCCTGAGTATTTTCACCTGAGGGAAAAGGAGGCAATATTTACATAGTATTTTCAATTAAATATAGTGACATTTATTGTAAAATATAAATATTAAATGTAAATTGAAAAGTTTATTTCACAGATTTTTATTTTTCTTTTTTCCTGGTGTCTGTAAGAATAAAGTTATAGTTTTCATTCAGATCAGATTTGCTTGTGTTTCAATTTAATCACCAATCTGAAATAAAATGTATTTCTCAGCTTTGGTTGTAGGAAAACAAATACTTTTCCATAGAAGGATCAGTTACTATATAAAATTAAAATTGTAGATTATTTATATAGTAGAAACTAAATCTTAGAAAAATTACTAGTTCGTATGAACAAACTGTCAAGTAGATAAGAAAGAGTAATGCAGAATAAACACAAAACAAGTAATCATAAAAATAAAATGTTTTTTTTTCTCAATTTACAGGATAACCCTGAGGGAGAACCCAGATATACTTCTATACAAGTAAGTTTGCTTATTCTATTAATCAGCAATACACGTTAGTTTCCTAGTCATTTGTGAAAAGTAAATAGGATGCAAATACCTCTAAGTCAGTATGTGTTCAATGTTCTATGTTTTACGGGATCTTTATTGATAAATTTCACGAATATGTCAAACTGCTAAATAATCATGACATATGTCTTTTTTTAAACATTCAAGAGCAGAACTTTATTATTACTCTGTAAGTATTTTGAAAAGCCTTCAATTTTACATTGTATTGTCTGCGTTCCCACTCAAATATTTGGATCAGAATTTGAAGTTACACATCAGTGAAAACAGAGAAAGGAAACACAGAGAAAACACCTCCTAGGAATTTAATTTTCTTTATGAAAAACAAAGACCACAGAAGGCCTTTGGGATCTTTTGGAATCCTTTGGGATGGAGGCTGTCCTCCAGGTATGCTGCACCTCATTCTAAGCGGTGCAGCTTGCACATCCCATCTGTATCCTGAAAGTATCCAAGAGTAAGCACATTTTAGTTAATTGTAGTAACAAGTATTGCAGTCTTGTACTTGTTTTACAGGTTTGTCTGGAAAGTTATGCTTTTCCTGAAAAGTCATAATGCAAAGACTGAGGAAGGTGAGGTGCATGCAGTTTATTCCTCAAATCCCTCAATTCTAGCAGTATTGAAATGAGACAATTCAAGGTGCTTTTCTACCTCTGACAATGGGCCAAGCGAAATTATCAATAGATCAGACTACATTGTAAGAAATTACAGGGTACAGTTTAAAGGACAAAAAGCTTCTAAACATAAATAGTTTACTGCGTGACAGGTTATTATTTAAAGGAGATACACAGATATGTACATATTATACACATAATAAACATGCTTATTTTTATTTTTTGCTTCTTAACAGCAGTTTACTTTAAAAAACAATGCTCTTCTACCCTTGTAAAAATTTCGCTGGTAAATGGCACTTGCATATTATCAACACCTAGACATGCAACAAAGAAAAACAACTCAGTTTTGCTTTGTTTTTAGGATGGGGGGCATAGGCACACATTTAAAAGAGCCAACAAGATAAAGAAGTACCTCTTGAAAATGAGAACAGCTGGCATTAGTTGCTACGTGAGCTCAGCCTGGGGCGAGTGGAGTGCACCTGTAGAGTTTGGTAAGAATGAAAATCCATCCCTCGGGCTACTCTAACCCTAGCCGTGTCCTGTTTACCTTACACACTGCTGCACATCTACGGACACACAGATATATACAGGCTTGGCAAACTTTTTGTTTCCCTCAACATTACTGAGAAGAAGAGGAGGAAGAGAATTAATACATCTCTTAACAGTCAGACATTAGAAATCAATACAGAAAGTTACACATTTGCAACTGAAGTGCATACCTGCTTACTACAGGGGACGGACAAACAGGCTCAATATCAATCCTTCCCAGCAGATGTTACTGCTAAGGTCCTAAATTAAATACCTGATTTTTATACCAAGTGATACTTTTCATACTGATATTGGCCAGCCAGTCACCAGAGTAGATGTTTGACACAGCTATGCATCTATTCCTCTTTATTAACAAAAATACTTTACTACTGTTTCAGGAAATGAAGAAATAATTTCTTCTTCAGTATGGATTTTAATTGTGGTAGCAATTGCGACACTCTTGGTGGCAATCACTGCAATTTTGTTCTGCAAAAGGTAAACTTAATTTATGCATTTATTTTATTTTGTGTGGGTAAGTGAAACATCTGGAGTTCTTAGATAAGATAGAGGTGTCTCTGTGGTATAGATAAAGCTTTTTCACTCACACTGTAGTAGAAATTAATCCAAATGAATGATCCTGATGCAGGTACTATAATGATGATGCCCAAAGTCCGTCCCCAGCTGATCCACACAGTTTTTTCCAGTGCCTCTCCTGTCAACGTGGCAAGGAGAGAAATTATATGCAATTACTTATATTAACAGTACAGCTGCTCTGAATATTTGCAAGGTAGACTGTCTACACACTAAGTTTTCTGATTTCTTGAACTGCTGAATTTATTGCAAACACACAGGTTGATTGTACTTACCTGTAAAGATTTTGCAATGGTGACTAGAATTGTCCTAGCAAACAACGTATCTGAGAACACATAAGCTAAGCAGCTTGCTTCTTGAAATAAATCATATAAATGAAACAGAAAGAAAAAGGATTTTCCACTATCATGCACTTTGTATGGAAATATACAATAATTCAGAGAAGATACTGTTCTTCAAAATTGTTAAAATTTTTACACGCACTTTTCACTGGTTGTAGTGACTTAAAGAGCAACACTATTTTGTTTACCTTTCAAAGAAGAAAATAACTACTAGCGAATCTTTAAACAAAAATGAAACTATTACCATCCAAATTCTTAGTGTTTTCCTGACATGTGTTCATTCTGTGCTGAAATCATCTATATTTTCATTTCTCTTCTGTCCTGGAAGAGGAAGAGTCCTTGAAGAGCTGCTTCAAGGGTGGAATGATTTTGATACATGACAGTTACTTAATTTTACTTTTCTATTCCATACCTTTTGATCTCCAGGACTGGCTGTTGGAAAGCAGCATTTCCAGAAATCCCAGAGCCAAAAAATGCATTTCATAGAATACCTGATACAAATCCAGAGGTATGTTCTCTTTCTATTTTATATTAAATGTGTGAAATATATGTGTGTGAACATACAAGACTCTACTGCAGGTATTTTTTAAATGATATGGAACTTAAGACAGAGAATAACTCTTCTCTTTGCCATATTTTGAGGAATTATGAGAGAAAATCAGCAGGCAAGTTTATTGAGGGAAGTCAAATTTAGTGCTCTTCCAGATACAGAGGGTTTCTCCCATTCCAGTCTCACAGATGCAGGGGCTGATGCCCCAGGTCCAGGCAGCAGCAAGGGCTTTCCCAACACAAAGCACACACAGAGAGGACACTAATGCAGCCAGCCACAAAAAGCAGCAACAGGTGCCTTTATCAGCACCACATCAATACTACCAGCAGTCACATAAATAGGGTTGCAGACATCCCAGTCCTCCTGCTCATCTGCAGCTGAGCAGGGCTGAAGTTTGTCAGTGAGACGTGCCTACACTCTCACTCTCTTCATCCACCACAGCCACAAATTCATGAGCTCCTCACATATGGTCTCTCTGTCTGGACCCTGGGTCCCCCCAGCAGGTCACCAGCTCTCACCGTGGGTCTCTCCAGGTGCAGGTCTCTCCTACTCACCTACTAGTCCAGCGTCAATTACGTTTGCTAGCAAGTTAGACATACAGGATAGAAAGCAAGGTGACACAGAAAACAGTCCAAAATAGGATTTTGTAAGGTTGCAGTGGTCACACTCAGCGTTTCACCAGACCAGCATACCAACCAGCAGCTCACTTGTGCCCTTTTCTTTTCCAGCAGTTCATCATGTTACGTGCAGAAGTTTCTCATGGTGTGCTCAGTTAGCTAAACTTCAGGCCAATGTGTACCGATCTATTTTCACACCTTAACAAAGATAATGCTTTTGTATTAATTCATTTGAGATGATATGCAATAATCTGCCTGGTGCACTGGAGAAAAACACACATTCTCCCTGTTCACTTCCAGAGCAGTCAAAAGTCATGTCTCAGCATTACAAAGTGCTGAAACTTCACTGTTAGGTCCAGCTAATGAAAGCTTATCAGCTAAGAAAACAAGAAGTTAAATATTTCTATAAAATATGCAATGGCAGTTGAAATACTCTCAGAATTGTAAGTAAGTAAGTAGGGGCTGAGCTAACTTTGTGTATAAAACTAATGGAAGCTTTTATTTTCCTTTCAGCTGATGGGGAGCAAAATTCAGTCACTGACATCTGAAAATGAACAGATAATATTAGTTGTTGACGCAGTGAAATAACCAAGAAAAACGGAGGAGTTTGAAAGTGCATTTCTTAGCTCAGGCAACTGTATATTCTTGTGGAAAGTCTGGAATAAAATATAGTTTTCCTTCACTTTCCTCCTTTTCTTGGCAAAAAAATAGCAGTGCATCCAAGAGAGAATAATACGTCACATGTGAGTGTTTTTTAAATGTCATTGTATTTGCTTTTAATTTTGGCTAATTTTAAGTTTTTAGGTAACTTATATTTGTGGGATACCTTCCATTTTGTGAATATGATTGAAATTTTGTTTACCTTTCAAAGAAGAAAATAACTACTAGCGAATCTTTAAACAAAAATGAAACTATTACCATCCAAATTCTTAGTGTTTTCCTGACATGTGTTCATTCTGTGCTGAAATCATCTATATTTTCATTTCTCTTCTGTCCTGGAAGAGGAAGAGTCCTTGAAGAGCTGCTTCAAGGGTGGAATGATTTTGATACATGACAGTTACTTAATTTTACTTTTCTATTCCATACCTTTTGATCTCCAGGACTGGCTGTTGGAAAGCAGCATTTCCAGAAATCCCAGAGCCAAAAAATGCATTTCATAGAATACCTGATACAAATCCAGAGGTATGTTCTCTTTCTATTTTATATTAAATGTGTGAAATATATGTGTGTGAACATACAAGACTCTACTGCAGGTATTTTTTAAATGATATGGAACTTAAGACAGAGAATAACTCTTCTCTTTGCCATATTTTGAGGAATTATGAGAGAAAATCAGCAGGCAAGTTTATTGAGGGAAGTCAAATTTAGTGCTCTTCCAGATACAGAGGGTTTCTCCCATTCCAGTCTCACAGATGCAGGGGCTGATGCCCCAGGTCCAGGCAGCAGCAAGGGCTTTCCCAACACAAAGCACACACAGAGAGGACACTAATGCAGCCAGCCACAAAAAGCAGCAACAGGTGCCTTTATCAGCACCACATCAATACTACCAGCAGTCACATAAATAGGGTTGCAGACATCCCAGTCCTCCTGCTCATCTGCAGCTGAGCAGGGCTGAAGTTTGTCAGTGAGACGTGCCTACACTCTCACTCTCTTCATCCACCACAGCCACAAATTCATGAGCTCCTCACATATGGTCTCTCTGTCTGGACCCTGGGTCCCCCCAGCAGGTCACCAGCTCTCACCGTGGGTCTCTCCAGGTGCAGGTCTCTCCTACTCACCTACTAGTCCAGCGTCAATTACGTTTGCTAGCAAGTTAGACATACAGGATAGAAAGCAAGGTGACACAGAAAACAGTCCAAAATAGGATTTTGTAAGGTTGCAGTGGTCACACTCAGCGTTTCACCAGACCAGCATACCAACCAGCAGCTCACTTGTGCCCTTTTCTTTTCCAGCAGTTCATCATGTTACGTGCAGAAGTTTCTCATGGTGTGCTCAGTTAGCTAAACTTCAGGCCAATGTGTACCGATCTATTTTCACACCTTAACAAAGATAATGCTTTTGTATTAATTCATTTGAGATGATATGCAATAATCTGCCTGGTGCACTGGAGAAAAACACACATTCTCCCTGTTCACTTCCAGAACAGTCAAAAGTCATGTCTCAGCATTACAAAGTGCTGAAACTTCACTGTTAGGTCCAGCTAATGAAAGCTTATCAGCTAAGAAAACAAGAAGTTAAATATTTCTATAAAATATGCAATGGCAGTTGAAATACTCTCAGAATTGTAAGTAAGTAAGTAGGGGCTGAGCTAACTTTGTGTATAAAACTAATGGAAGCTTTTATTTTCCTTTCAGCTGATGGGGAGCAAAATTCAGTCACTGACATCTGAAAATGAACAGATAATATTAGTTGTTGACGCAGTGAAATAACCAAGAAAAACGGAGGAGTTTGAAAGTGCATTTCTTAGCTCAGGCAACTGTATATTCTTGTGGAAAGTCTGGAATAAAATATAGTTTTCCTTCACTTTCCTCCTTTTCTTGGCAAAAAAATAGCAGTGCATCCAAGAGAGAATAATACGTCACATGTGAGTGTTTTTTAAATGTCATTGTATTTGCTTTTAATTTTGGCTAATTTTAAGTTTTTAGGTAACTTATATTTGTGGGATACCTTCCATTTTGTGAATATGATTGAAATATTTCAGTCAAGAAATAACAATGTTACAAAGCAAAAGTGATGTTTTTCATTTAAGGAAATACAGTGCATTTGTATGATACAAAAAAGAATACGAATTAATTTAATGAGACAAATAAAAATTAAAAAAAAATATTTATTGTGCCTGAATGCCCTTGTTCTACTGTCAAGAACGGGCCTATTCATACCTGAAGTTTCCTCGAGTCTCTTAAAGTACACATGGGCAACTAGAAAATTGAGAACAGGATTGAAAGCAGGCTGACACATTGAGTGGTGGCCTGTAATCAACGTGAATCTCAAAGGACATAAGTGTGTTTAAAACCTTTAACTAATCCTAGAGCTTAAGTGTGTTACTTAAAAGTTAAGAGATCAGCCACTATTACCTTGATATCAGCCCAGAATTTACTCCTGTAGGCATCTAGCTCTTTATGTTCTTAATGCTTACTTGTGGTTCTACTACTTTCACTCATTACTCTTTAACCTCTTAGTATTTTAAAATTTTCAGTGCGTGACTCAGTTAATCTCTGCGTCCCTTTGTTCAGAGACCTTTTCTACTCAGCTGGACAATAATTTTTCCCCTTTGTTCAGAGGCCTTTTCTACTCAGCTGGACAATAATTTTTCAGAGCCATAGGGTTAAGACAAGGTACTGGGAAAACAGCCCAGGCTCTTCTTGAATGTAGTGTCTGCTTATGAGCAATGCTCCTCAAGGGTCAATGCTGAGACTCATAGTGTTTAGTACTAACAGTAACTTGGAGAATGGGTTGAAATGCAGCCTTAGCAAGACTGGGGCTCTGCCTGATATAATGGAGGGTAGGCCTGCTATTCAGAGGGCTCTTGAACAGAGCTGAAGAAATGAGCTATTAGGAACCTCCTGAAGCAAATGCAAATCAGAGCCATAGGGTTAAGACAAGGTACTGGGAAAACAGCCCAGGCTCTTCTTGAATGTAGTGTCTGCTTATGAGCAATGCTCCTCAAGGGTCAATGCTGAGACTCATAGTGTTTAGTACTAACAGTAACTTGGAGAATGGGTTGAAATGCAGCCTTAGCAAGACTGGGGCTCTGCCTGATATAATGGAGGGTAGGCCTGCTATTCAGAGGGCTCTTGAACAGAGCTGAAGAAATGAGCTATTAGGAACCTCCTGAAGCAAATGCAAAGATGAATACCTGGGAAAAACTAACTGCATATATCCTAGAGAATGGCTGGCTGACAGGTCTACAGAAAAGGCTCTGAAGTCCTGGTGGTGCTTCCTTATGGTAATTAAAAATACCCACACGCTAGGCTATACTGGGAGGAGTTGGCCCACCAGGTCAAGGACAGTGATTATTCCATCTACTCAGCACTCATTTGTCTGCACATGCAGTTCCGTGTCCAGATTTCAGCCTTCTAGTACAAGAAAGACAGTGACAAACTGGGTAACTTCAGCACTGGAGCACCAAGAAGATTATGGGGATCTGAAGGAACTGGGATTTTTCAGCCTGAAGAACAGAAGATAAGTGGATCTACTGCTGTCTTACACTGCATGTAAAGGAAACAGAACAGACTTGTCCGGGAGTTGCACAGTGTGAGGAAGAGAGGGAGCAGTCACAAGTTGCAGCAAGATAAAGTCCAATTTGATATAAGTAAAAAGTATGATTTACAGGTGAGAGAGGTTGGGTGGTCTCTGGAACGGGTGCTTAGAGAGGCTATGAAATCTCCATCCTTGGATATATTCAAAGTACAACTGGACAAGCAGATGGATCTGACATTGAAGTTGGCTCTGCTTTAAGTGAGAGGTTGGACTCAATGACCTTCAGAGGTACATTCCAATATAAATATTTCTCTAAATATTTCTTTAAATGGCTCTTGTCAAAACTGGCAAGCCTTTCTAAGTCCCTGTTGTGAAATAATGGTACCCACTTGTACACTTAAGGTAACAAGGTAAGCTGGAGTCATATGTGAACTGGTACAGTTGTCTAGAGAACTGCTTAACAGATGCCTCTTCCACGTGGACAATAGGGCTTGACTCAGAAGGACCTTGTTTCTTTTCAGTCCTAGATGTCAGTTTGAGCCAGCACTTCTTTTTCATTTCCTGGTGCATTCTCTACCTAATATATAGCCTCAGGTTTAGGGCTTGGGGAAGCACAGGAAAGTCCAGCATTGGAAAAGATGAGGTGCTCAGGTAACTCATGTGTTTAGGTGATCCCTCTGAGGTAGGAAAAGGAATAATGTCCTTAGAGCCAGTTCTTCATTTTCTGTTTCAGTCACTGGGAGGGCCTTTTGTCTCTCATGAATCCCAAAAGGTGTACTAGTCTTTGCAGTCGGAAAGCATGATAAATCATGATTCTTATTCAAAGGAGAAAGAACTGAGGTGCAGTAGCAAAAGGGGAGTGTTTAGGTCTTCTCATTGTGGAGGAATGTAACTCATCTCGATAATATACTCATTTTTATACAGATGTAGGAAAGAGTTTCTCACCTTCTGATCCAACGATGCTACAGACCAAGTAATTTCAGAATTATGTAGACCATTATCAGCAGGGAAAGAGACTAGACTGGTGAGAACTTTTGTCCTTTTTAGGGTTTGGACTTCTCCAATGGCATTTACAGTTCCCAGTATAAGGTGAGATACAGTTGGAGAAAGCAGCCTGAGGAGGCCTAGATTCTTCTGAATATTGGAGGGCTCTCAGATTTATGAAGTATCATATCTGCACAGAACAACAAATACATGTATTCTCTGGAAAATGCAACACCTAATGCTGAGACTTTAAGACAAGCAGAGACTTATAATTCTGTTTGAGATAGATCAGACACTTGTGCACACAGCAATGGTTCATCTCAAAGGATTGGTGCATTAGATTTGGACCTACTGCTTTTCTTCTCTTCCATTTTCTATGGGAAGTGTAAGCCCAACCTCTGTTCTTACAGGTTCACTCCTGAAAAACGTATAAGCTTTTTTTCCAGAAAAATATTTCTATTTCTGTTGTTGGCCATGTGTGTCTGATGTGTCCTTACCTTACCATAAATTCATTTCTGTTGATGGAGCACTTTTGAAAGGGCTAGCAACAGCCTTTTCAGATAAGTGACAAACATAAGGGAAGCATTTCTAAAGAGATGTGAGTAGCGATGTCTTCTGGGATATTTTTCTTGATGTAGGTTCAGTTAGGCCATTTTCCCAGAAGCTTGCAAGACCTAAGATTTCCTTTGTCACGTATCAAATTTGAGATAGTGTTCTGCAGTAGAAGCCCTGCTTTAGTGTTGCTGTGTAGAGTAAAATCCATACTGCCTGTTTTCTCTGCTTAGAGCACTAGTATCTAAATGTGGCAGGCTTGAGAAGCTTGGCTACTAAATTTTAGAGTTAGCTGATGGTGGCAGCCAGTGTCTCCAATTGAGTCTAAGAAAACTGTTACCATTTCAGCCCTTAATATTCTCATCCTTTCCTGATAATACTGGCTCAGGTTCTGCTTGTACTTTTACTTAATCAGATGTGGATACTCTTTCCGGTGCTAAGTTGCTGGGTTTCTTTACACTCTTGCTTTGCTGGATCCCTAGACTAAGCAGCTCATGCAATTTGTCAGCATAAGTGGTTTCAGAAGAAATTCTATCCTGCAGGTGGTGTCTTCACTGTTCCAGAGGGCAGGTGGAGTTTTGTCATGCTCAGATGATGCAACCTCCCAAGTCAAGCATTTTTAGACCAGATGGAAAAATATTTGGAAATTTATCATATAGCAACAGCAATATACAGGGGCATAAAGGTATCAGAGTAAAATGTCCAGCCAGCCAATTCAGCACTTCAGCATGTTAGGATTATTGATATTTTTTTTCATCGTATGTGCAAATTTATATTTTTCTACATTGTACAAGAGATTGGCATTTCATCTGCCAATGTATCATTCAGGAACTCACTATTACTAGGTTATTGAACTTCCTCACATTCATCTTTGGTTTCTATTATCCCAAACTACTTGTAACGATTTATCCATGTGAGAATCCTCCTGTTATCTCAAGGCAGCTTAGACTTTTCTCCTGGTTTAACAATGTGATACTGAGTTTTTTCAATGCCCTTTGACTGGCACTTCATTTTGAGCATGATCTTGATCAAAAGTCCCAGCATGACAACATCCTTGAGGGCACCAAAAACTCACTGATACCTTCTGCTGTCACCTTACCTCCTTTAAAAATCTTTTAATATACCTTGATCATCTATTTGTTCAATGGTTTCTGATAAGATTCATTTTGGGGGGAAATGATTTATTATCAGATTTCTTTTATTCTTTTTACATATTGTTCCATAAAAAATGCTTATGTGTCTAATGTTGCTCTTGTATTAGTCTTGTCAGAATTCACATGCTTTCCTGTATTCTGTCTATGGAAAGGGCTCCAACTCATTGACAAATATCTTCCTATTTTGTACAGGCTACCTCATCCTTTTACTGTGGTAAACCAGGAGCAAGGAGGTTTTTCTTTTAAAGAGGCAAAAAAACCTACTATTTGATGTGTTCGTATTATGAATGGGACCCAAAGAATACATTTCAATGTTTGATTTTACTGTGTGGGAACAAATCAGAGGGGGCATAGCCATGTCTTCATCCCATACAGCCATAGTGGCACCACATGTGAAGGCTTTGTAGAATTAAAGAATATCAGGTAACAATTCTACAGAATAACAGTATTATCAGTACTTGGCAAAAATCTAATTTCTGCATCCCTTCAACAACTTAAGCCCTTGTAAGAGCTAAGTAGTCAGTAGAGATCATGAGGTCGGCACAGAAGACAAGAAGCAAATACCCTCACCTCATGGGGTGTCTCCTGACACCCTTGACAGAGATCAGGAGCACGGCAACAAACTATATTTTACTGGTATCATTTGATTTCTGGACTCCTTTGGGAACGAAGCGTATTCCAGCAAGGAAGTTGGAATCTGAGCAGGTAATTGGAGAACACAGGCAAAACTTCCACCTTTGGTTAATATTTAATTGCATACAAGGCTCAGCCTTGATCTGGAGTTATATCAAAAGAGTCTTATCACCTGAATCCCCAGTTTGCATGGTCGGTCAGTGAACCACCCCCTGGTTCCCATCTGAAGATGTAGTGCTGGAAGATCACCATGATTTCTAAGGTGATCTTAAGGCTCAAAAAAAAAAATGCTCAGCAATTTCCCCGTTTAATGGAATTAGCTTTTGAGCACACTTTCACAAGGAAAGGAAGATTATCCTCTGAGTAGCTCCACTACTTGTGATAACTCATATATCTTGCTGCTCCTTTTGGTCTCTGAGATTCAGATTTTGGAGGTCTCCCAATGTTTTCCTTAATTGGGTGAGGAATCACTGAAATATTATGCTTTAGTGTAAAATTGCTTTTCTCTTTGAGACCTCGAAGGCTTAGATTACTATACTAGAAATCTGAACAGAGCTATTACACCAGTTTTATAATGACGCTGGACATTTGATTATTAGACTGAATACTCCCAGGACTACTTGCTTACACTAAGGCCAACTGGCATGTTAGAGCCCAGATACATTTTATTAAACTCCAAAAGAAGATGGACATGTGCAAACTGCCTTTAGAAATTAGCCCTGACCTGAGCTAACCTCTGGACTATTTCCAGGAGTTGTTCAGGACATTGCTTGCAAATTCTGGCCAAATCAGTGCTGGGAACAGTTGTTCCTGGAATCTTTCCAGCACTGGGGAGCCTTCCAGTTACCAGTGCAGCCAGGGGCAATCTACCACCCTGTCCAGCTTCTACTGGAGCTGTGTGCAAACAGCCCTTGGCACACCTACTGCCTTTGACAAAGTTAATGATTGCCTTTTGGTCAAAGACTTGCCCGGGAAGCTTTTTGCAGCAGATCAGAACAAGGTCAATTTCTTAATGAGGGTAAATTCATGCTGGACACACATGCAAACCATCTCTGTATTTCTTTTACTACGCAGCAGTGGCCAGAGCTGAAATGCTCACAATCACCTCCTAAAAGAGTGATGGGGCTATATTAGACTACTCTGGTTTATACAACCTTTCATGATATCTTTCCTCTTGGGCAAAACTGCCAGAGTGAAGCATAATTTGGGTCTAATCCACCAAAACATACCCATGAGATATTGACCATTCATTTTCTCCCTGTAGGGAAGGGAATAGGAATATATAATAAAGACAATATCAAGACACTCAAGAGATGTTAAATAGATGCTAGACAAACTCCGTATTTGTTTCCTGTTTTCTCCTGGGAAGACGTAACATACTTCAACTTGTTCAGGAAAGGTATTGCACTCATGTTCAAAAAAAGGCCAAAGTTCAACCCAGAGAAATATCAGCCTGGGAAACTCATGGTGTGAGTCCTCATGGAGCACATTTCTGGACACATTATGAAGAAGGTCACTGGGAACAGTAAGTATGATTTTACCAAGGGTGTATTCAAGAGACAAGTCAGATAACACAGGAGTTTATCCTGGGACCTATCCAGTTTAACCTTTTTATCAATGGCCTGGAGGAGGCGATGAAGTGCATTGTCCTCACATTTGCAGAGGACACCAAGTTGAGGTGACTGGCTGATTTGCTCATGATGAGGGCTGCCATCTGCTGGTCCTGTCTAGACACAGACAGGATGAAGGAGCAGTCCAAAAAGAACTGTGAAATCATCTACTACTCACTTGAATTTACATTGTCCAGAAGAGGGAAATGTGAAAAAATATGACGTTATTTTAAAATAACTTTTTTGAAAACAGCGTTTTGAAAAATTGTCCTGTGCATGTCCTAGTATTCTGTGATTTACAGCCACCCTTCTTGGTCTGTTACAAAAGAGCTTCATACAACATTTGACAACTTCTTGAAGGTTATGAACACAATTGTTCCATCTACTCCTTTCTTATGAAAGGTTGGTAACATTTCTGAAGTTTTTATTAGCCTGGAGCTTTTCTTGGAGCTCCTCCTAATGCTGCAAATATTAATGCTAACTGAGATGTTATTATTAACAGATTTTTCAGACCATGTAGAGTGGATTTTCTGTCTTTTATTTATGACAAGCTATTCATTAATTCACCAGCAACATCTACAACAACAGTGTAGAATACCACCTGCAAGACATCCCAGCAGACCACCCCACACCTGTGGACCAAGTGCTCTTGTGCTGGAAGGGACTGTTTTGGGAGAACTGGAGAGGTTTCTGCCCACCCCTGACTATTCTTGGGAGAGTCTCAGCCACTCACGTTGCCAATATTGAACTAGAATGAATCACAGAAAAGCACATAAACAAAACCAAAATCATTGCTGGCTTCTCATAAACACAAGGCTGTAGACTGTGGCAGTTCACAAGCTGTTGAGAAGACTGTTCCCAGGAGAAAGTGGGGCCTGTTGAAGGGGAACACAGAAGATTTCATATGTCCTGAAGGAAGCTGGTCCCCAATAGAGTCAGTTCTGGTCTTGTCCAGGACTTGAGGGCAGACACAGTGCCAGCAAGGCTGTGCCCTCCCCAATCAAGGACCACCCCACATCATCCAGCAAGGGAGAACACAGGGCAGCCAGACCTGGGGAAGAGGGGAAGGGTGGCTGCACCAGTTGGTGCAGAGAAACCTGATGAGTTAGTCCAGACTAGAGTTTAAAATGGATCATTAAAACTAATTCAGCTACTGTTTGAGCAGCCTGAAGACACTGGTCAGAAGACTACCCTCAGGTTACCCAGAACCTGACCAAACACACCACCAGAAGAAGATGCAAATCCCTTCATCAAAACTAATCAGGCGTATGTACACACTTTGCATCACAAATATGTGTGGCACAAGAGGATGGTACTATAGGAAAGTTATACAGGGTGGTAGTTGTCACTGAGGTGGCTGGTGGTACCCAAGTAGAGCACATTTGATGAACAGGCAATTTCAGACCACACTGATGCATGTACTAACTGTGTTCTTATTAGCCTACCTAAAATAAGAAAATTAAATCCTTTAGTTAGTAGAAGATCTGAAACATACTAATCCTGTTCCCGAGGTACCAAAAAAGATGGCAAGGACTGAGTCAATGTGGTCCTAGAGACCCAAATCTGCAGGTGAGCCACTGCCTCACATGCACTCTGCCTTCAATATTACTCATTTATTTATAGGCTTTTTCATCCATAACCTCAAGGTTTTAAAATGAAAATATTATTAACGTGCTCTTCTGGTGGTAATCACTGGGTAAAGGTGGACAAGGCTGAGCAGTGTTGACTGAAAAGCAAAAACATTTAAAATTTGAATGTCTGTGAAGCAATTTGCTATAGGTGCATCTGAACACATACACAAGGAAAAAAAAGTATTTTGATTCAAGGAAGGCAGGGTTAAAAATAGTTCTTCCTCTAACAGACTAGCTACTAAGGATCCTGTCTCGCTCCCAAGAAATCTGGCAAATTCTTCACTTTCCTGCTATTGTGCCTGTGTTGGGACTGGAAGGTAAGGCATAATTCAATTCACTCTTGCTACAAGTGTTGGAGAACAGCAAGAAATAAAAACATTATATTACATAAAGATTATATATCTGCATGCCAGATATCACATAAAACAAACTGGGAAGTGGCTAACAGCATGGCTGAGAGCCACTTCTAAAGTTGGTGGAAGTTAAAATAAACATTGTGGCTTAGAGTCTGCAAAGTCTTTTGTGAACTTGATTTTATTGAATTCAGCAAATGCTTTGGATATTCTTTTTTAATTTGAAAATTCAGATGATTTTGCACCTAACCCAAGATATTGTAGTCTAAGATGAATGAAACCAAACCAATCCAAAATAGGGCAGTGAGAAAAGTTCAGAAATTTGCATCTGGTATTTTCCTTGCCACTTTGCCCACAAATACACAAGACAGATTTTTCTTGGCTGTTTAAAAATGCATGTTGAGGATTGATCTTCCTCAAAGGAGAACCTGGGCTGCTGCAGAGGTCATAAATGATGTATACAGCCAATCAGGTCCTGACAGAATTACAAGGCCATGTTGATTGATCACACAATGCTGCTGTTATTTGCAGAACATTTTATTTATGAAAATGTGTTTATTTGTAGGAGAGGTATTTCTATGAGCATAGTCATGTATTACAACTGCTGAGAATTTATGTATTTTTGTATAAAGAGTTTATATATTGTGACTATTAATGTCTGGTTCATCTACCATAACAGGAAGGAAGAAGTAGTTGCATGACCAGTTTGTGTGAAATCATTTACATCTGCAAATTAAGAAATTTAAGGAAGTTTGAAAGCAGTAAGGCAAGTGATAAGCTGAGTCAGTTTCTGACTTGCAGCATTTGCTACTTAAAACTGGCATGCAATAACAAAAGGCAACTGGCAGAGCAAAACACTTACTGATGCCTGCACGACCACAACTATAGGATCGAGTGTCCTTGCTGCTGTGATCCAAAATCAAACAAGATAAAGAAGGAGGGTTTTTTCAACAGGAGGTATGTCTCTCTATGTTGTATGATGTTTTTTCTTGTGCCACAGAAGATTTTGTGCAGAACAGAAATGTTTGCCAAGGATAGGTTAGGTATAGTTATACTAGTGCACATATGAAATATGGATTAACTTCCTGCTTAGGAAAGTCTAAGCAAAATTTTTGTGATGCTTTAGCCTATTTGATTAAAAATATAAATTTGTGTAAATATAAAATTTCTAAATCTTTCTGAAAGATTCGAGGAAGACTATGAATTGTCTATAATGCCTGTTGTGTTATTTGACATTTCTTATCTGACATTTATTTTGTAATAACTGAAAGAAATGCTATTTTCTGTACCGTTTCTATAAATTAGTCTGAAATAGAAATACGTGGATTTCTATTTATTGCAAAAAAATAAATCACAGAATCTTGGGATCGTTGAGGCTGGAAGGCATATCTGGAAATTGTTCTGTCCCATCCCTTGCTCAGAGGAAGGTCAGCTACAGTAGGTTGCTCCAGGATTTCTGGAGCAAACCTTTCAAACCAGTAAGGTTTGAGCATCTTCAGCGTTGAGATTGCACAACCTCTTTGGAAAACCGATTCCAGTGTTTGACTATCCTCACAGTAAAAAGTGCTTTCTTGTGTTTAAATTGAATTTCCATTATTTCAAGTTTTGCACATTACCTTCTCTGCAAAACTGCTTTCCAACAGTGTGTGCTGGTGCCAGAGTAGTTCCTCCCCACATGTGGGACTCCACAGTTCCATTTGCTGAGTTTCATGACATTCTTGTCAGCCCACTTACCCAGCCTGTTGAGGTCCCTCTGAAGCAAAATAGTTGTATATCAACAACTTCTTCCAGTTTTGTATCATCTACAGAAATCAAAATACTGATCTGAAGACTGAACTGATTCTGTGAAAGTTGTATTTAAGCAACTTGAGAGGAATATTTTAGCAATTTGAGAGGAATATTTCATTGCCTGGTATGAATTGTAAGGTTTTTATTCCTGTTTCTATGCCTCCTGGTATGCTTAGCAAGTGTATGGTACTCTTCATATGTCCACAATGTATAAACATCAGTTTTTCTGCAATGGATAAGTATCATTTTATACTCACATCACCCCATGAGTAAAATTCAAATTTTCATTTCTGGAAGTGTGTGATGGGCAGGAATAGCTTTCCCAGAGCCACTCAAGGAAACAAAATCCATGGCAAAGCTGGCAATTAGAACCAAGGAACCTTGGTTTCAGGTGACATTTTCTGGTAGCATCCTGCACTTACAACCTAAGAAAGAATACAATAGACTGTACAAACTATGATAATAAGAATTGAAAGTTCGTAAGTTAGCATTTAATGGATGCTTTCTGTAAAATCTACTATAGACATAACCATAGCTTTTAAATGGGACTGTATTTTCCTTTTGACACATGGATACTGACATCATTCTAGAGCAGATTGAGTTTGACCACGCCTTGCTACAAAAGACAAAATGGACTTATGTTTGCTAGCACCCAACTTGCCAGGGATACTGCTGAGTTCTTACTCATCATCATACATTTTACATACATCATACATCTGGTAACATTAGATAATCAGTTTAGCGATGTTTTCCATGGTAAGATTTTGCTACTGAAAAAATGAAACATACAGGCTATGCACATAACTCTAAAAATAAAGAAAGCTCCAAGGCCAAGTATCACTGGCTGGCTCATATTCACATAGCTTAGGTGGACAGATGAGGCTTATAGCAAACCTGTCTTGAAGAGAGCTAAGGAGTGAGCTAGGAATTGAGGATTGTGGAAATCAGGTTCTTGAGTCTTTTCTGGGGACCTCCCCTACATAGCAGGGTAGACACATGCTGAGAGGTGAAGCCACTTGCGTGACTGGCCAGGAGAGAAAAAGGAAAGAAGCAAAACGGAAACAAGCATAAAATTAAGGATGGGGGGCTTATGCCTAACAGATTCTATATTATCTCTTAAATTAATGAAATATGAGGAAATACCACTTACAGAAGAATATCTATGTTTCTTCTGGGCTGATCTTCCAAATAACACTCCCAAACAGTTTGACATAAGCGTGTGTTCCTTCTGACACCTTCAATACTGAAGTCTGTTCAGAGCAGAGGGGGTTTTACCACACCTGTCTGCAAAAGAGCAGTCCAGGAGAGGGCGGAGGTCCTGAAGGCACAAAGCTCCTACAGATGTGGTGCTGGAGCCATTTGCTTGGCCACTGGGAAGAATGCAGGCATGGGTCAGGCAAATGGTTTAGGGCTCACCACAGCTCCTATGTCTCTTATCCTGCCTGCAGGTCAGAGAAAAGCCAGGGGACCTGGCTATGTGTAGGCATCTTCTGCTGGGACAATAAAAAGAACACAGGCCCAACCCAATCCTAATCCTTTCTTGTGTAATTTCTTTTAAAAGTCAGTCAAGGGTGAAACGCATGCTTGAGAAGCAAACCCCCTTAGTGTTGTGGTCATTGGAAATGGTCATTTCTTAGCAGGAAAATGAACACTTACAGACCCTGCTATTCCCACTGCAAGTCCAATGACATGTCCAGTGCCTAGAGACGATGCCAAGCAAGCACTCCTTGAAGCAGGCAGAGCTGTAGATGACTCCTTTGGCAGTGCTCCAAGCATTTCCATGAGAAAACATGGAGAGTGCTTGCAGCATGGGGCTGCTATCATGTGTAGGAAACCTGAGGGAGATTTTGAAATCAGAGGAGTTGTGACAATAGACAAGGAGATGACAAGAAGAATAATAAAGCAAAGACTATAAAGGAATGGCGAGCAGACAGTTGCCAGATAATAAGAAAATAAATGCCAAAAAAGGAACGTAGGATGAGGAAAGGAAGGAGAAATGGTTAAGATTGACTGAACAGATAGCACAAAATAGAGAAAAATATGGTTATATGAAAAAGGGAAAACTATAAGGACAAGAAGACCTGAGGTTCTTACATGCATCACTGAAGACATCACTGAGAACATCAGAAAGTTAAAATAACCGTTGAGACCAATATCTCACATAACATTTCATGGTCAGTCCTCCATACTGTTTGTATTTAAGATTCTTCAGTATCACTTTGCAGCAGCTGTGGCCACATCCTTACTGCTGAATGATGATTTACACACACACAAAAAAAAGAGACTGATATTGCAACAGATAAGCAGAGAAGAACGAAGCTACAGTGAAGTCTGTCTCTGTTGCAACCCTGACATGATGTCTTGTCCTGGCTTGATTCCTGGACACCATGATGGATGGGTCAACTCAAGACAATTTCCATGAAATGTGAGGTGCCCCCTGGAAATATTCAACACATTAATTTGCTTGGAGCGTCTGGCTGGGTTTTTGCTTTCATCACAAATGGAGTCAGTCTGGAATCTGCACTCTGAAATGACCATAAAAATTACTATAGAAGGACAGACATGTAACAAAATGTTACCATGTTCCTACTTTTCCTGACTTCTTAAGAATTTACCTCACAGTCTTAGATTAACCTTAGAAATACCTAGAATCAAGAAAATTGCTAGTAGGAAGTTACACTACTAGGAAATACTAAAGCAAAGAAACAAAACAACAACAACAACAAAAAAAACCAAAACCAAAAACAAACAAAAAAAAACAACCAAACCCCACACCCCTACATTAACCCGCGTTGCTTCTTCATGTGGAACCAAACCCCACACCCCCACATTAACCCGCGTTGCTTCTTCATGTGGAAAAAAAAAAAAAAAACAAAAAACCCAAAACAAAAAAAAACAAACCCAAATAAATAAAAAAAGAAAACAACAAAGAAACAGAAAAACAAATGCTGGGAATACAGAAGTCTCTTCCGAAGAGTTTTACCTTCCTCTGAGAAAAGGAAAATGGTACCTAAGATACTGATATGCTTGACAAGAGCTGATGCCAGTGTTGGAGTAGCTCTGCTCCAACCGCCACAACAAATGAATGAATGTGGAATCACCCTTTGCATGTACTCACACTTCCTTGGTAATTTAAATTTCCTACAGTGATCTGTAACGTCTGACTCCTCAGTTTCTGACACTGCAAGTAGCTAAACTTTGAAGTAGACTGTTCTGGGATGATGGATGTGAACCTCTAACAGCAGAGGCAGTCAGTCTAGTTTGAAAAGCAGAGAGTCATTTGTGATAACAAATAGGAAAAAAAATACTGTGGTAGTTTGACCCTGTCTGGTCACCAGTTGCCCACCAAGCCACTCTATCACTCCTCGTCTTCTTTGTTCTGTACTTCCCATCAGCAGGTGGTATCCAGCCACTCCCTGGGAAGGAGGGCCTCAGTATGCAACAGCAGTTGCTTTGGAAGACAAATACCTTAATAATAAATGTCGCCTCCCACCCTCTCGTCTTTTCTCCCAGCTTTTATTGCTGATCACAGCATCATACCATGTGGAATATCCCTGTGGTTATCCTGAGTCAGCTGTCCCAGCTGTGTCCCCTCCCAGCCTCTTGCCCACTCCTAGTCTACTGGCCTTTAAGCAATGGATGGGGTAGGGTGGGAGAGACAGCCTTGATGCTCTGTCTCTGCTTAGCAAAGGCCAAAACATTGGTGTGCTATCCACACTCTTCTAGCTACAGCTACAAAGCGCAGCACTACGTGAGCTGCTCTGGGGAAAGTTAACTCCAATCCAAATGGGCCCTAAGACCTGCTGGCAGGAGCAGGTACAGGCTGTGAAGGTGCCTGGTGGTGACACTGTCTTTAATAGAGCACTTACAGAGAAGTGAGTCATCCACACCCTGACACAACCAAAAGCCAAACTGTCCACCTCCAAAAAGGTGCCTTCAATAAATGGTTCAAAGCCAGTCTAAACATTTACTTTGCAGCAGAAACTGGAGCACTGCACAGGAAAATCTGCGATGCATACAGCATCAGAAAGCAAGAAAACCTGACTTTCTGGTTGTATGGTTAGGATAGGTATGTGGGACAACAGTAATTCTAAGTCTGGATCGAATACGGTGAATGTATGTTTCATAATGAGAGTCTGTGGCCTCTCTGTCTCAAACAGCTCTGTTGTAATGGACAATAGTGAGCCTAGAGTTCTTTGAAAAAAGAGGTGCCTGCCAGATGTCCTGAAGTACACCCTGTGCTTGGCTATTTTGTAGGGCTGAATTAGACAGTAACTTTGACTCTTCCCATGAAAAAAGAACTGAAGCTTTGCAGAAACCAAACTACACTTTGGCATTATTTTTCTTTTTTTTTTTTTCCCTTTTTTTTCTTCCCCCCCTGAAGGTTTCGTCATCTCTTTTCAGAGAAGAAAAGATGTTTAATACTCTTGGACTCATTTGCATGATTTGGTGGTATATGATGTTATTTCATCCCCTGCATGCTGACATCCAGTGTACGGGGCGTAAGTATGTTTTTGTAGATGTAATCTGAGAAATAGGGTTTAATACTTCATTTATCAGAGATACTTGCAATTGTCATCTTAAGCCTGACAGATGCTATCCTCTGCCTTCAACAAAACCAGTAGTATATCCTTACAGAACTTATTCTGTAACACTTTCAGCAAAGGCACAAGAATCAGCTATTAGAAACATGAAAATAAACTGGAGAACTGGAGAACTGGAACTGTCCTGGAACAGCAGTAAGAATTTCATTACATACAAATGTACCACCGAGGACAAGATAACAGAAATTCTACCACAAGAGGTAAACCTCCTATTCATTGTGATAAGTAGTTGCACCTTTTTTATTTACCTTTTATCAATCTCACTTACTTTGAAAAAACTAACCACTTGCAGGTAAAATCTGATCAGTCATTGTTTGCAGTCTACAGCTCAGTCTGTCAAGGGCTGTGCAAAATTGTCACTGATGTCAGGGTGCATTTGCAGCAGGAGGAGCATCCTGTGTATACCACAGAACTGAAACTCTGGCACGAAAGTGGAAAGGAGGTGATAGCTTGAACTGTAGCTACGTTGAATCACGAATAGGGCTGTAGCTGCTGAAAAAGGGGGCTGTGAGACTCCTAGAGAAATTAGGTAGAGGCAAAGCAAGAGACCCTTCAAAAAAAAGGGAATTTTCCAAACACTGCCATGGATTTTCATTATCTCGAGTTCTTCACTTGCTTCTCAGTAAATTGGATCATGCTTGTAGCACAAGTTATAAGCCCACGTTATCCAAAGAGAAAAGTAGGAAGCTTGACAGAAAGAGAGACAGAGATGGCTTATTTAGCCTAGCAAAGCAGATGCCTTAATTAGAAGTACATACTACAAAAACGTATCATATCTTTATTGAAGATTACAAGTATAATGCCATAGACACCTTTCTGACCCCTGAGGAGGTCAGACAAGGACTTTTATTTCGCTGAATCCTTTGAATAAATTAAATTGTGCTTTCCTCATTTATTAACCATCTTTTTTTTTATGCCACTGGGGTATTATTAGCCTTCTTTAATAGTTGCACACTATTGTTGTACCATCCAGTGCCTGAAGCTGCAAAGCTTTTTGCATAGTTACACTTTTGATCGCTCAGCTCCATTCTACATCACCCTTAAGTGCTATAGGTGGGAGTTTGCTCTTGAACCTAAACCACAGACATATACACACAAGATTTTGGCCCTACTAATTGAGTTTTTGAGTTGTAAAACAACTCAACAACAGCTGGGGCTGTTCAGTATGAGGAAGAGGAGGCTGAGGGGAGACCTCATCACTCTCTACAACTACTTGAAAGGACACTGTAGAGAGGTTGGGGCTGGTCTCTTCTCACAGGTAACTAACAATAGAACGAGAGGGAACGGATTCAAGCTCCAACAGGGTAGGTTTAGATTGAACATCAGGAAGGAATTCTTCACAGAGAGAGTGGTCGGGCATTGGAATAGGCTGCCCAGGGAGGTGGTTGAGTCACCATCCCTGGATGTGTTTAAGGGATGTTTAGATGCGGTACTGAGGGATATGGTGTAGGGGAGGACTTTGTAGAGTAGGGTAGATGGTTGGACTCAATGATCCCAAGGGTCTCTTCCAACCTCAATGATTCTATGATGATTTCCACAGCCAGCATCATCTAGCACAAGCAGAGGAAAAACAGAGAAATAAACCCTCGACATGTTCTTTTTCAGGTGAATAGTTCGGTATGCAGTTTTGCAAAGGAACAATACATTCTGCACAAAGGGGTACTCTGTATCATTGAAGTGCCAAACACAAACATCTCAAAAAACTTCACCTTCATCCCTGGAGGTAATGTCTATGGTCTGGGTGAGGTTTTCTCCATTTGTAATCTTTTAAAGGTAAATATTGCCTTAGAACACAATTCCTTACATAGTAGGTAACTGCTTTATTTTCTATTAAAAAATATTTTTTTCAGATCTGTTAAAATTATTGCTCTGTAATGAATGTTTCCACAATTCTGCAAGACATGTATTACTACAGATGTACCAGTAATTGCATTATTTTCTTTCATACTGGGGCTCCGAAATGCCACTAAATTTAAGGGTAGATTCAAATAACTGTTCTGGCTGTTACAAATTAAGATGTGGGTGACTGTTTCTTCATTAAATCCTTTCCTGCCAGGCTGTTGGTGAGTTTGTCAGGAGCAACCAGAGCTAGCTAAAGGCACAGTCTTTACGAAACTCATAAAATGGGAGGAGGAGAGGAAAGGAAATAACGATGATAAGCAGCTAGGGGTAAACTGAGTGTAGCGATCTCCTAATCTGGCCCTGGAGTGCCGGTGCATGTGAAAACACACACACCACACACACACAAAGATATTCTGGCCCTGCCCCATGTGGGAGTTAATCCAAGTGGGGTTTAGGCAGATCCTAGGCTCATAATCCCAAACCAGAAGTTTTTAGGGCCCATTTTCCCCTGCTTTCTGAACTCAGAGATCTCCACTAAAATTGCCCAGACACCAGTGCTCCTGCAGCTGTGCATAACTGGTGCATTTCAGATTCCACAAAGGTTGATGAGACTAGTTAGCAGTTTGAGCAGAGAAAGTACTCCCCACTCCTCTCTTCCTGAGGACATGACAGAGAAAACACTTTCACAGTGACCCTCAAAATAGAAGCCAGGACACACTGACTCTTAAAACTCCTTCTTCCTTTCATTACTCCTATTCAGCTGGCCCTAGCCTCCAAGCATGCAGGTTCCCCGGGGGATTGACCCTGCTTCCGCAAGGGTGTCCTCAGTAATGGGCTGGAGGTAGTAGCGCAGGAAGCCTCCACCCTTTCGTGGAAGCTGGCGCACACTGCAGAAAGAAGCAGAAAATTTTCTGATGGAGAAGAGGGAAGAAGGCTGAGCATGCCTTCACAGCCCAGCACAAGGGAGCTTCTTAAGAAGCAAGGTTCTCGCTTCAAGGTTTGAGCAACCTGGTCTAGTGGGAGGTGTCCCTGCCCATGGCAGGGAGGCTGGAACTAGATGATCTTTAAGGTCCCTTCCAACCCAAAGTGTTCTGTGATTCAGTGTGCTCCAGAAAAGGAAGAGACCAAGTCTCTGTCACCCACATAAGGGCAGAAAGCTCTAGATAGGAGGTTATTTGACCAGAGGGCCCCACTTTACTTTTTAAGGCCCCAGCTTTTTAAACACTGCATGGAAGCAATTCAGGAGTGGATTCCTGAGCATTAATTTTAAAAGGAGAAGACTTCTCTCTGTAGCACCAAGGATGGTGTTAAAAGGCAACATGCATTGCTTTACCTGTGTGAATGCTCCCCTCACCCCCAGGTTTCGCAGGTCAGAGGCAGGCAGATTAGAGTGAGAGTCCAGCTTTCTCTCAGATGTCATGCCCAACGCGAGCAACAACCAGCAGGAGTTGCAGGGATCTAACATATCTAAGCCTGTGCCACGGTCCTCCAGCTTGGAGCAGTCGCATGATTTGTCCTCATTGTGGGTATTCCTGTGTTTTCAGGCGTGAATGGGTCGGCCATTGAAAATTTCTCCTGTGTGATTTATAATGTTTCCCTCATGAACTGCACTTGGCAGGCAGGCCGGGAAGCTCCGGGAGATACCCAGTACTTCCTCTACTGGCAGTACTCAGGGTAAGTAGGTCTGCTGGAGTCTAGGGAAGTCTGCATTCTCATTTGACGCATCACCCTGCCCGTGCTTAACTAACGTACTTTGCTATAAACAGACCTAATGACACAAAGGAATGTGAGCTTTACATTAAAGACAAAAATGGCAGAAACATAGGATGCAGATTCGAAAATGTGACGACAAAGCCAGGAAGTTCTTACATCCTGGTGAATGGCTCTAGCAATGTCTCCCAGATCCAGTTCTATGATACGTGCATTGACCTATATGAAATCGGTAAGTAAATGAACATTTTTATTTTATTACTGTTTTATAAAATAAGGAAGTGGGTAATTTTTCTCTGAAGAGAAAGATCAAGGTCTGCAGGCATCACAGGAATCTTCAGTGCAGGACAGACTGTGCTTCTGATCGACAGAATATAGTTCCAAACATCCACTAAAACTAGCAAAGGCAGAAGCAGCCTGGAATAACAGCTTGAAGAGGTGGGGCACACATATCCATGGAATCTAAGTGATGAAAAGCAATGGTTAGACTTTCAATGCCACTTTTCTGATGGGCTCATTTCTCCATCCCATATTTCCGTGCCTGAGAGTCACAAAAGGTACATGTCCTAAAACCAAAGGGAAAGTTCAACTTGCAAATTAAGACTGCATTATTTATGTGTTACCTGTGTGAGAGCTAGGAGTTTAAGCTCCGATAGAGATTGGGGACAGCATTCAGTTGCCTAAAAACTTGCATTATTAGTGCCATTTGAGACAACCCCAGACATCTGAAGCATCCATAAGGCTTGTAGATGTGGCCCAGGACCTGTGAGAGACCAAGGGGTCCTCCTGGGTGTCCTATGTGGTCTGCAGTGCACAGTGTGAGACTGACTCCTGCCTGCAGCTGATGCAAGCTGTAAAGCCCAGAGCCATTCAGCCCAGCATGCCTGCTCCACGGTAGGCCGAACGGCGCTGCAGACATCACAGGCCCTACTAATGAGGTCTCCACTGACTGCAGTGGTTAGGCACTTATGTCATGCCTAATCACCTGTATTGTAGGCCCTCAAATTCAGATGACTAAATCTTCTACCTGAATACTACCACATGCACAGAAACATCCATCTTTTTTTTGCTATGGGGACTTGCATTATCAGTGTGAAATTTAGACAGAGAAGAAAAAGGCACTCTGCTGATTGTACTACTGAATTACACAAAATACTTTTTTACGTGACCTTCAGTTACTTCAGATGTCCAACAACTGAAGTGATATATTCAGAATCTGTATTTTACTCCTGTTTACCACGTAACATTAGTTAACGCCAGTAGCACACAGTTGTACATCAGTCGCCTGAACTTCACAAGTATTTTGCTATGAAGACATGAATTGTAGCTGATTACTGACCATGTCTACATGAATTATTTCATTTCTTTCCAGAAATACTCGCTCCTCCATTAAATGTTACTGCCAAATGTACTAGAGATTCAAGCTGCATAATTACATGGCAACAACCCCTTATAAGTTATCCGAGAAAAGGGAAGTGTTTTGAGTATGAAATTGGGATACAAAATAAGGTAAAAACAATGTCTTGGTTTGTGTTTCATATCATACCTATGTACATACTTATCTCTAACATGCAAACTTCTGTTTCCGTATTTATTAACTTCTCTCTCATAAACTATCGTGTCTTCCTGTTCCAGTTCTGCTGGTCTTGCATCCCACTGCCCATGACCTTATTTTAAACTAATCAGAGGTACAAAGCAGAAAAGCAGAAGAGATTAGGGAAATGTTATGAGGGTTCTCTGTCCAAAGACTGGGAGACCACCTGAGATGCTTTCCTGCATGAGCACATCTCACAGTGATGGCAGTCTGCAATCTGCAATGAGGGTGCTACCTTGGTGGCAGCCTCCAGCCTCTCACGCTCACCCTGCTTCCCGGGGCACCTTAGTTCACCCACCCTGACATTCTGCCCTTCTTCTCCTGGAGCCTGGTTGAGCCAACTGACCCCGCCAGCCTACACAATATCCACCACACCCTCTGTTTTGAAATTAGTGCTGAAATAGAAACCACTCATCTGAAAAAAATTAGATACCAGCAACTCAGGAGGAAGTTCACACAGGCCCAGGGTAGACATCTGCAATGGATGTGTTTGCTTTTCAGTGAGTTACCCTCTACACTCTCTGCAGTCAGATGTGGTGTTACCCATCTCCTTCCAAGGTAGGCGATAGACAAATCATGTCTTTAAAGTCCTTCTTTCTTTCCATTGGCTATAAGAGAGGAACCTAAGATGGCTATCTCAGATGTAAACACGTATGTACCAAAAGTGAGCCGGTATTTCTCCCGCGTTATAGGCAGAGCACTACCAATTTACCATAGTGACCATAGGAAAGTGATGGACAACACAGAATGTCTCACTTTACCACAGCTGACGTACGTCTGGTTTCCACCAAACGCAATGGAGCAGGGAGGCTGAAATATCAAATCCTCCTCCACAAATCTCAGTGCCTAAAGGACTTGATTTTAACACCCTTAAGGACAAAGGGCAGCAAAAATATTTGAGCCCATGAGTTTGACAAAGAGGCAAGAAAAAACACTCTTCCTCCCCATTCCTGGGACATCTGTTTCACCATTATGTGATTTCCACACATGGGTAACATCTGTGCTGTGACAAATTAGGGCTCCCTACTCCATCCCCTTTTCCCAGCCACAGCTCAGAAGCTTACCGCAGCAGCAATTCCCCAGGTGTTTGCAACACAAGACCATTACAGGAAAGCTTAACTAAGGGCTAAACATAAATTTACAACTCAGACAAAGCAATACGTCATTAACATTCATCAATTCATTCAAAACAAGGCCTGCAGGTTGCTTGCTGTTTGGATTGTCTGGATTTTGTATCTTGCATGCGATAATGGTATCTACCTTGGTAGCTATTTCAAGAAGCAACTGCAGTACACATAGCTTTCCGGCCAGCTGGTATAATTTGACAATAAGATCTTGTGTGAAATACTTGGAATTTTTTACATAGAGGTATAGGTTACAAAATGTGACTAAAGCAATATTATCAAAACATTTCTTTTAAAGAAATACATATTACCTCTTCTTTCCCATGCTGCAGTCAGAATAGGTGGAGTTCAGTAGATTCCTACTTCTGGGTGTGAAATTCATCCCACAAACTGAATCACCTTAATGTAGGTGTCTGCAAAGGAACACAGATGGATAACAGTCAATGCAGATCTCGGGCTCCATGCAGCTGAGCAGTAGCTGCCTCATACCCCTAAAGGTGGTACCAGAGGTACCTACATGGAGACGGCAGATATAACTCATGCCTTTCATGAGGGGCTGTCAGAGGTAAGGCAGGATATCCCAGAGCAGCTAAAATGGCACTGTACTCCTAAAGTTTAAGCAACTCATTTGCACCCTCCCCATTCACAGCACAGACTGATGACTTCCACCACATCCTGAGTTGGAAGAGCTCAGCTGACAACAAGTAAAGGGGAAATACTAGTCTATTGCATAACGCAACATAGACAGTGGGTATATTTTCTGAAATGAGACATTCCTTCCAATAAATTCTTTCTGATTTTTCCAGAATGCTAGCTATCCTTCTGACATTACATGTGATAGATGTTTCCAGGAACTCAGCTTTTCAATGTTTTTTGGGATCCTTGCTAAAATAACTGCTATTGATTTTGCTCATTTTTGAACCTGTACCTTTTCAGGTTCTTTAATCCAGGTCAATGCTTGATTCTGGTTAATTAAATTTTGATTGTATGGGATGTGCAAGTAGCTCTTCACAGTATTTTGGGGAAAGCCCCTGAGTATGGATCACTCAGATGTCTAAAACGCACTGTGTAAATATACCCATGGAAGAAAATACAGCTTCTCACAACCACTGATAAATAATTCATGTTTTCTTCCTTCTGTAAAATGAAATGGAGGAAGCCAAAACTCTGCATAAAGTGCTATATTCTGGAACATATACAATTGTTTTTCAGTTTAAAATTACTTATTATCTGCATAAGCAAGAAAATGAGAACAAAAGAGAATATTTGATTATTTGACAAGAAAATAAAAATGAGGATTGGTCTTTGGTTTACAGGATGAGCCCAAAGAAGGGAAGAAGGATCCTCCTGTAACAGTAAGTATTCTTGTCCTATACAACTAGTGCTTTTGCCCACTTAAGCATATAAATACCATTGTATAAAATATAATTACTCCAAGAACTGTAGTTTTTTGTCCCAATATAGCAACAAGAATTCATGAAAATACGTTCCTGTAGTATCTTTATGTGTAAACTTAATACATCTCTTTTGGATGGTGTAGCTTACACGAGACAGAATTTATCATGCATTTCACGAAATTTCATACTTTCCATTGATCAGACAAATAGATTTTGCCTAAGAAAAATGTTATGTTTTGCATAATAAAAATAGGAAATGTTCTCTTTCTCATATCTGTTGGTGGAAAAGTACTACTGTAGTTCAGGACAGCTAGACAGAGGGAACACCAAGATCTTCAAAACCTGTGGACATTAATTTGGCTTCCAATACACACTGTCAGTCTTCCCCTGACACGAGTGGTCTTCTCGGCCCTGGAAGCATCTTAGGCTTGGCAGATTCCAGACTTTGTATAAAGTATCATGAGGCCAGATTATACATATCTGTTATTGGATTGTCTCAGAAACATTAAGTCTGTTTAGCAAAGACAGACACCATCCAGGGAACACGATTAAACCCTATAAGGGGTGCAAGGTGAATTTACAGGATACTTCTCCAGTTTCAGCTTTCTGTCCTGTTTTTTTTTAGGATCCATAAAGAGGGACAGGGAAAAAGTGTCCTTAAAGCATAATAAAATAAATTACAGACCAAATAAACTTCAAAATCTAACTTTAAACTTCAAAAACCAGAAAGGTCTGGTGGCAGGATGAACTAATTAATCACCGGTTTAAATCTGGGGAGAAGAACATCTAACTAGTACATACCTAAAAGTCATACAAAATATTTTTTTATAGAAAGAAACTGTATCAGTAAATTAAAACCCAAATTTTATTAACATTTACCTATAGGGTGAAATGTGTTGATTGTTTTGATTTTAGATAAGGAACAACACATACATATTCCAAAATTACAATAAGAAAAAAAAGTACATTCTGAAAATCAGAGCACGTGGAATCAACTGTCTCCTAAGCTCAAACTGGGGGGAATGGAGCGAACCCATCGAGTTTGGTAAGACTGTGAAATATTATTTCAATTTTTTTTTTCTTTTTGGTTTTACCATATTTCCCTCTCCTTTTCCCTCATGCTCAAGGACAGGAATAAAATCTTAATTCTTATCCAATGACATGAAAGGAACTGGGTGGAAATTACTGATGTGGAGGAGATGCTTAAGTACTATGACAACAGAGGCTGATACCTGCCTTTGACTAGTTGGGATTGTGGAGGCAGCGGTTTCTCAGATGCCAGGGCTACAGGAACAGGCTGAGACAGATCCAGTCGTGTCTTCAGTCTGGAGTGCCTTTCAGTTTTTTAAGCTTCTGCCATTAATATCTTCCTCTTCTTTCCGCATATTCCTTTTCACCCTTTCATCAACAGTCTTTTTACAGTTCCACCACTTTTGGTCTGGTTTTGATTACGTGACACTATTTCTCCTTCTCTTTTCTAGACTTTTTTTTTTTTTAATTCTCTATATTTTGAATGTTCAAAATGATTTAAAATGCATCAAGCATGCCTGAACTTTTTGACAAGGTTCTGTAAGAAGTTCAAGTCCTTTGGATTATTTGAAAAATGGGGTGAAATTTGCATTCATTACTAATAGTCACAAAAGTTGCTTTTTGACATGCTAAGATTTCCCTCTCTTCAATGTTTCAGGTCAACCGAAAGATTACTTTATTTTTGTGATTTTATTTCTGATAGCAATTGGAACAATCTCAGTGATGTTGATCCCTTATTGTCTTTTCAAAAGGTAAATCAACCTTATTGTTGTAGAAACTTTTAATACAGCATTATTTCTATGAAACACATTCCTCCTATCTTTGAACTTCTTACCAACAAACTTAAATAAACTGATTATCAGTATCATGAAGTATCATTATCAGTGTTGTTGTGGATGCCACTTCAGCATGCAAAATCACTACAAGTGAAAAAGGGGGAAAGGATGTTAAAGTTAGGAAGTGATTGATTCCACCAGATCCTTAAAAAAAAAAAAAAAATTAAAAAAATCTCTGTTCTTACTTTAGCATCCACAGTGCTTTGAAGTCCTTGGCTTCATACAGTACCAGACAAGAGGAAATAAGGGCAAATAAATGTGATTATTTTGATAAAACTTCTCACTTAATGGCGGAAGAATGGTAGGGGTTGGAAGGGGCCTTAGGAGATTATCTAGTCCAACCCCCCCCGCCAAAACACGTTCACCTAGAGCAGGAACACATCCAGGTAGGTGTTGGAAATCTCCAGAGAAGGAGACTCCACAATCTCTTGTTCTTACTTTAGCATCCACAGTGCTTTGAAGTCCTTGGCTTCATACAGTACCAGACAAGAGGAAATAAGGGCAAATAAATGTGATTATTTTGATAAAACTTCTCACTTAATGGCGGAAGAATGGTAGGGGTTGGAAGGGGCCTTAGGAGATTATCTAGTCCAACCCCCCCCGCCAAAACACGTTCACCTAGAGCAGGAACACATCCAGGTAGGTGTTGGAAATCTCCAGAAAAGGAGACTCCACAATCTCTCTGGGCAGCCTGTTCCAGTGCTCTGGCACCCTCAAAGAAAAGAAGCTTTTCCTCATGTTGAGATGGAATTTCCTGTGTTCCAGTTTGTTTCCATTGCTTCTTGCCCTGTTGCTGGGCACCACTGAACAGAGTCTTGCCCCATCCTCTTGACACCCACCCTGTAGATATTGCTAAGCATTGATGACATCTCCTCTCAGTCTTCTCTTCCCCAGGCTAAACAGACCCAGGTGTCTCAGCCTTTCCTCACAAGAGAGATGCTCCATTACCTTGATCATTTTTATAGCCTTCTGCTGGACTCCCCCAAGTAGTTCCTTGTTTTTCTTGAACTGAAGAGCTCCAGAACTGAACACAGCACGCCAGATGAGGCCTCACCGGGGCAGAGGGAGAGATAGGATCCCTTGACCTGCTGGCCACGCTCTTTTTAATGGTCCCCGGGATACCATGGGCCTTCTTGGCCACAAGAGCACATTGCTGCTTACCTTGATCACTTTTATAGCCTTCTGCTGGACTCCCCCAAGTAGTTCCTTGTTTTTCTTGAACTGAAGAGCTCCAGAACTGAACACAGCACGCCAGATGAGGCCTCACCGGGGCAGAGGGAGAGATAGGATCCCTTGACCTGCTGGCCACGCTCTTTTTAATGGTCCCCGGGATACCATGGGCCTTCTTGGCCACAAGAGCACATTGCTGCCTCATGGTCAACTTGTTGTCCACCAGGACTCCCAGGTCCCTCTCTGCAGAGCTACTTTTCAGCAGGTCAACCCCTAACCTGTATAGGTGTACGTGGTTATTCCTCCCCAGGTGCAAGACCTCACACTTGCCCTTGTTGAACTTCATTAGGTTCCTCTCCACCCAAATCTTTAGCCTGTCCAGGTCTCACTGTATGGCTTTCTGGTCTGTCAGTACTGCTCCCAGTTTTGTGTCATCAGCAAACTTGCTGATGCCACCACTCTGCCCCCTCATCCAGGTCATTGATGAATATGTTGAGCAAGACTGGACCCAGTACTGACCCCCAGGGAACAGCGCTAGTTACAGGCCTCCATCTAGACTCTGCACCATTGATTACAACTCTCTGAGCTCTGCCATTCAGCCATTTCTCAATCCACCTGCCATGTGATTTATTGAAAAACATTGTTTAATAATGTATTTACTGTGATTCTCATCACAAAATAAATTTTAGTTACCAAAGTGGTAAGTGTAATAACAGTTATCCACCAGTCTACACTGAAAATATTTTCCTTCTTACTTAGTGATTTGTACAGCAATCGCTTTTCAATCTCAAAAGTAAAAAATGTCCTTAAGGTATAAGACAAAATGTTTGTATAAGTTATCTTACCAGTGTTTTTAGTTTCTTCACAATCCTGTTTTCTATCCAAAGGTATTGCAGTTTCAAAAGCATATTTTCTCCCATTCCACAACCAAAAGACAAAATTAATGCATCAAACGATGAAGATATGCAGGTATGCTTTCTTTTCAATTCAAATTTGATATCTATAAACCACGACAGGCAAAAGACTAGAATAATTGGCATATAAAGTTGAGCGTTAAATTTGGTCCATTAAAAACTATTTTGTTCCCATGCAAAGCATGCTGGTTTGAAATCAGAAATGCTCTATGCCAGTGCTGAGACTGGTGATTTTCCTGTAGATATTTGCAGACATATTTTAAGACCTGAGTTACCAGTTTTACCGAGACCAGTATTTTCTGTGTGTACCAGTTTTGTTAGGTTGCTGTTCATACTTTGAAAGTAACTTAAGTGAGAAAGCATTTTCCATTACCATTTTCAAATACCAATGATCATAATATAATGTGAATATATATTTTGTAAGTCTGACTACACCCATATTGAAAAAAAAAACCAAACATCAAAACAGAAACAAATGTGTTGAATTGAATCATGGAAAACAGGGCTGGAACAACAGGTTAACTAGCCTCCCTCTTTGCTTCAGTATAGGATTAGTTATAATAATTTTGATGTTTTGTGCAAACTGTTCAACCAATATTCTACAGATAAACGGTGCAGTTTATCTTAATGTTTAATTATCCTTCCTTTTAGAAAGCTTTTTTAATGGCCTGTTTTATTGTACTTAAAATCCATTACATCTTGTCCTTATTCCTTTCCTGCTTACAGCATCTCACATACTTGCCCACTGTCAACAGCACCTAACTCTTCCAGCCTTTCTTCATATCTCATGACAGCCAGGCTCCAAGCCGTTCTTGCTTCTCCTCCAGTTCTTCCATTTGCACAGCATCTGCATAGTGAGGCAATGCTTTGTACCAGCTGGCTAAAGCAAAGATGCACTTTAAGTCAATAAATTGGGCTAGTTGTTTATTGCCTACAATGTTTCAGAGGGCAACATCCAACCACTCTTTTTAACAAGGCTTTCGAAAGTCCTCGGAAAATTTTCCTTCAATCTTTTACAAAGAATCCTGAAAACTATTACTACTAAAACTTTCCAGCTTAGGACAACGTGCTTATATATAGTTACCAAACTTATTTGGCTTTGGTCCTAACATCTTTGGCTTTAACAAAAGGTAGGTAGTGACGTAACGTAGAATCATAAAATGGCTAGAGTTGGAAGGGACCTTAAAGATCACCTAGTTCCAATCTCCCTGCCATGGGCAGGGACACCTCTCACTAGAGCAGGTTGCTCAAAGCCCCATCCAGCCTGGCCTTGAACACTTCCAGGGATGGGGCATCCACAGCTTCCCTGGGCAACCTGTTCCACAGGGCCTCACCACCCTCACACGAAATAATTTCTTCCTGATATCTAATCTAAATCTCCCCCCTTTCAGTTTAAAACTATCACCCGTCATCCTATCTCAACACTCCCTGATAAAGAGTCCCTCCTTATCTCTCCCCTAGTCCCCCTTTAAGTATTGAAAGGCCACAATATGGTCTCCCTGGAGCCTTCTCTTCTCCAGGCTGAACAACCCCAACTCTCAGCTTGGTAAGAGAGGTGCTCCAGCCCTCTGATCATCTCCATGGTCCTCTGCTGGACTCACTCCAACAGGTCCATGTCCTTCTCCTCATACACATTCAGTCATAAATACCTGCTATCTCACTTCACATCAGGCTGCCAGAGCCAATGCAGTCCATAGTCTATCACATTATCAAATAGTAATTGCTAGTAAAATAGCAAGCAGTCTTCAAAAATTGCAGACCCTCCGGATTGTTTGCTTTTATTAAACTTGAGGGGCATCCAAATTCCTGTATGCACGCTGCCAGAATTACTCTCTGCAGTCACTCCACTACCACCCAGAAGCCTTTGTGGTTTGGTTTTGTAAATGGTGGTACGGGGACCTCCATGCAGCAGTCATGGTCCGGGTTCAAGTCAAGCCCTCGCTCAGGTTGCCTCACACCTGCCAACAAGCACCGTGAAGGTAATTCCTAAGTCTCTGATGTGTTGAAACAGTTTCTAGACTTTTTTTTTGCCTATTTTAATCTAGTCTTAAAGCCTAGTTTTATTTTACCTCCACCCTTGGGTATCTAACACCGATGGAATGCTGTAATTCCTCAAAGTGGAAAATAAAGCAGAACAAATAGGAGAGCTCTCCTTCTTCATTGATACCAGGACCACCTCTCAGGCATTTAGTGCTAATACATTTATGAGCTATTTTGAACCCATAATGTCCTTTAAACACGCCTTTTTAAAGCTTACATTTCCTGATTTGGTCCCTTTTTGGACCTTTTACACTTTCTCATTATTTGCCCTGTTTCACAACAGAACTTTTCCTTAGATCACTGAAAAAGCCTCATGATTTACAACCCTAACCTTTCTGCACTGAGTTTGCACTTGTATCCTTATCGTTCATGTTAAAGAACTGCCAGTTTTCCTATTGCTCCCAACCAATTCATTCAGTTCATCAGACACCTCTAACCCATTTTATTTTACTCATCTTCCTTCACTTTTTGGTCACTCACCCCAAGTACTTTCCTCACCCTCACTCAGAATTACATTTTTAATACTTTATTTTCCTCTTTTTCTGAATTAAATACATTCCTAGAAGTCACAAGACATGCTCTGGGCGCAGATATATTGCTTTCTTCAGAAAATGACTGAGCAGCATAAAACACCATGACCATGAAGCCCTGCAGAGTTTACTAAGCCCACAGATTTCCTAGACAAAATTCCCCACCAAGACAACCTGGTTTAATGTTCTGTAACACACCCTTTATGTGACAGCAAGCTTAATTTTTTTTTCCTTGCTCTTCTTTTTCCTTTATCTTACCCCCCCCCCCCCGCTTTTTTAAAAACTAAATTTATCTCCCCTTAATATTTTAAGTCCTCAAACCCTGTATCAGTACTATGACCTTACCCAGCAACTTCCAGTCTTGTAGAGCTCCAGGTTAAGCAACATAAAACCATATGATAGCAACCAAAATGTTTTATCTATAAGTCTAGGTAATTCCTACATATAGAAAACTCAGTCAATATTCACTGAATAATTTTTTTTCTATCATCTTAGCTAAGGTTGTCCAGCATTTAAATCAACTTTTCTTTCTTTTTCCTTCAGCTGACAGATAGCTAGCAGTGATCGCACACGCTAAAGTCAAACAATCCTTAGCTGTCCCTAAAACTGTCTTCTCCTGCTTTGCAAGCATTTCCTGTGTATTAAAATAGCAAGAGGAGGTGTGTTTGGTACTGGTATCTAAGATTTAGAAATGTTCTCTGATCAACAGTGACTCTGTAGCTTACTGCACCTTACAAAAATTTCTTTCTCTTCAGACAGGATACATAAATCTAAAAAAGAGTTGGACTGAGGAAATAACTGTAGTTGAAGAGATGACTTAACTTTCCCAAAATGAAACATGCTTGGATTCCCCAACATGAAAGAAAATCCTGGAACATCTTCACAACTAAGGAATACTTCAAAGCACAGACTTGAACTGAATACCATCACCCATAAAGCTATTTGTCCCACAAAAATCCACCTGACACGGAGCAGATGAAAAAAGTGCAGAAAACCCAGTAAAATCTGTTCTTTTCCCTTTGTTCAAAGCCATAATGCCTGGGAGCCAAGCTTTTCTGCCAACACCTGCTGTGAAAAGATGCTTAAACCTTGCTGAAATTTTCTTCATAATGTGAGACAAGGACTCTCATCCGCAACACAGAAGAAACTTTGAATTATTTCCTATCTTCATTGCCATGATGCTGCTTTCCTCTGAATATGATTTCCTACAGGATTGCACAAGAATGCCACAGTAGTTAATTTTCCCACCTTATCATTTTTACATACCTAAAGTATTTCCTGAAGCAGAAACTAGCTATTTGAAGTGTGTTTAAAACTGCCCTTCAACCTTGCAACCAAACAGTCACTGTACATCCAATAAACTTCATGCAAAACAGAAAATGGGAAATAAAATAAAGCTTGCCAAAAGTAACTATTAATGCTGGGCTCCCAGCTGGCCATTTCATGACCTCAGTACTTCCAATGCCAGTGTGAATATCTGCAATATTAATATGGACTTAACTCACATGGCTATTATTTAACTCTTCAAAAAAATCCAGTGTAACAGTTGTGAGAATTGAAATAAAATCTGTAATAAGATTTTTTAACTGTTTAAATGTAAAATTTCCTCACACCAATGCCTTTTATTTATTCCCTTTGAAGTGTGCAAGCCCTATTTCCAATGCCTTTTAAAAATAACATAGGCTTTAGATGCCAGTGTTTTCTTACACAAATTCCAGATCTTATACTGTTAAAAATAGTTTTCAAAATAAATGCATTTTAACAAGCAACTGTTTCAATAAGGCAGAAAACAAATGCTTTTTTTAAAAGTCTCATTTATTGTTTGCCTCTTATGTTCCCACACTGCATAATCATACATTGAAAATTGCTGCTGCATGACTAAGGGAAGCCACATACTAAAAAAAATAATAATGAACACCACGTAGTACATGCTGAACGCACAGCATAAGTAAATTGCAGTTCCACTTAAAACCCCCCCACACCTACACTTCTATTGATTTATTTTCCTATTTCTTCTGGTTAAAACCTGGTTCTAGAGAGGAAGGGGGGAGGTGGGGGTGAAAAACGTCCTCCCTGTTTCAGGGGCTGCTCAAGTAATTGTCATGTTTGGTTCTTCCTCACAAAGCCAGAGCCACGATACTCTCACAGTGAGGTTACGTATGTGCAGTATTCTATCGTTATCTCTACCTTTCAAGCCACTGATATAGAAAATAAACCTAAGCAGTGTACTTATATAAGCAAAAACTCTTCCCCCGCCTCACAAAATCAATATAATTACAACTGAAACAGCAGGTTGATTGCTAAGGTCAACATCAGATGACGTGCCTGCACGAGAAAGCTACCATCACCAAACAGGGTAAAACCACTTGCAGTAGGTACATAAAGTTTGCTGTGAGGCTGTGCACAAAGCAGCTGCGTCGTGTACTTACATTCATATACAGATGGGGAAAGCTTCTGCAACAGTGACGGGAAAAGGTAAATGATGTCTGAGAGGAAGGTAATAATCAGCCAAAGCCAAGGAGTTCATTTAAATACTTCATCTTGAACAGCAACCTCAGAAGGCACACAAAAGAACTCAGCAGCTCAGTCAGCCTTCAGTGACTCAAACAATGACACACCGTTTCTTTCTCAAGATACAGGGAGAGTTCTTAAAAACACGATTGGAAGATGAACATTTTGGTTTCCTTTACTGGTCCCCCTACCATGTCTTTGCAGATTACAAAGTACAAAAGTAAGATTATATACACATGAAGAGCGGCACATAGGTATTACATTATCTCCAAGAGCAGTAGGAGAAATTATTTAATCCGATTTTGGTCTTCCAATAATCCCAGAACTAGATATCAATGAGTTAATGCTGAAGGCTGACCTACCTTGATCTATATTTTACAGCTACACAGAAGCATACATATTCCCTCCCACGCACCCCATCAACTTCACCTCTTAGAACGAACCTCGTTTCAGATTAAATTCACCTTGCTGACCACTGCTACACATCAGGCCAAACAGTATCTCCAGGGGCACAATCAGCACTTCCAAACAGCAGCAACAGTACAATACATAGGTTATGCGGAAGTTGAAGGCATTTACTAGGTTCCTGGGTTTTTGCATGAATGCCACATTGCTTTCTATATTGATTTTTTAAAAAAAAAAAAAAAAAAAAATTCATTTTAAGCTCTTTTATCAAGGGCAGGAGTTTTACTTTTTGACTGTCCTTGGGGCTTTGGATTCTCCTAGCGCTAGAAGAGAAAACCCCTCCATTTTGAATCATAGGAAAGGTTGCAAATCAATTTCTAAGAATCATGCAAAAAGCCACTTGCAGCAGCCCATCATACACTATCAGGCACAAAGAATGGGAGTGGTTTCTATTAGTATAACCCATGCTTCCCCCCGGCAAAGTTCTCACATTCAATTTTTTCTTAAAAAAAAAAAAAAAAAAAAATGAAGCTTTTCCTGTTACAGAGTGCAGTGTAAGTGTATCAGAGGAATCATTATCTGAAACAAGTTTTCAAACAAAAGAGGCTTTCCCAAAGCTTTTATGTAATAATTTCAACACAGACAGAGTAAGTATGTTTATTGTTTTACAGCAGAATGCCCCAATTTAAGAACAAAATTGCTAGATGTTCAGCTGTGCAAAATGGTACATAGTGCTTCAGTACAAGTGGAAAAGAACATGATTTGTTAGCAAGTACTTTCAAATACAATTTTATGGTCCTAGAAGATAGGACTTGAAACTGGGGACTGATCCACAGGCAAATAATTTTTTCTGCCTAAATTGGACCCAGCCACTTTGGACCCAGAACCAACACTGCTCATTCCTCATTTCTGGGAAAAAAAAAAAAGATAATCACCACACTGAATTGCTAGACTCAGTGTCTTCGTGAATGTTACTGAGAGATGGATCAGTCCTCAATGTCAGTTTCTAGCCCCATCTACAAGTATCATCTGGCTCCGATAAATAAGACTCACAGGAATTTCTTGAAGGTCAATGGTCCATAATGGTAGTTATTCTACATGATCTGCTCAACTTGATTTCCAATTCTAGTTAGGCTGCTTAAATGACTTTCTTGAATTCATCGTACAACACAAGCACAAAAGCGCCCCCCATTCCTCTGAGAACATTGGACCATGCACCCTTGAAGAAGGCCTTTCCTCCCTCATCCCTTGCAATCTTCCGCCAGCAGTCAATTGTTCCAGAGTACATGATATCAGCTGCAGAAAAAGAGCAAAGAGTTATTTTTAATTCCTATAATTGTACCCAAGATGCTTTTAACAACTGCCTAATTTCAATTCTCTAGTTACTTTGTGATGTCCCAAATCACGTTTTAAGACTGTAACAAAATACTAGTTCAGGCAGTAGAAAAGCTTCCTATCTGCTTGTCTAATTATTAAAAGCTAAGCCACAAAATAAAAATGTTACGTGTTTTTTCTGGCAATTGTACTGTCCCCTAATTGCCTTCATTTAATTTGTCATTGCAGACAAGTAGTCCATTTGGTCACTTCATATTGTATAAAGAAAAGTCCTCAACGTAATTCCTGAGAAACACCACAAGTAATGACCCTACTGCATTTCCTCATATCATTTAAATGTAATAGAACTTAAATCAGATTTATGGAACAAGGAACTGTAAGTGCTGAGGGATGACTATTAGGAAAAAGGCACTCCATCTTGTTAATGGTATTTAAAGAACTGTACAGTTGAAGAGCCTACCTCCTTTGCGTCCTGACTGCATCATCATTCTACGCCGCACTGTATCGAAAGGATAGGAGACCACACCAGCCACTGCAGTCACCGTCTGGGCAATCATCCAACTGATAACAATGTGAGTATTTCTGGGATCTGGGAGCATGCCTGCAACAACAAAAAAAAGCCCAGTAATTAGCTTTTTATCTTGTACATCCTCCTCTCGTTCACTCAATGCGTGACAGCTACTTTACTGGATGAAGTATTATGAAACATTGGAAAGTTGTACTTTGAAGTTGTACCAAGACACAACAAAATTTAAACATTCTGAAGCAGTTATTACAAATAAGACACGAAAATTAGCAGGATTTTTTTCTCAGTAATCAAAACAGGTAACATTTAGGCACCAAGATTCATTTCAGACTGGCATGAGAAGAGATCTAACTACTGCCTACTCTTTTTAGAAATAGTGTAACTAAAAGAAGTCATCGTCCCCGTGAATTATATTAAACTATAAACTAATGTCAATGACCTCTATGCCTAAATGTCTTGCTTAACAGACAAATGCTTTTTAAAAGCACCGCTCAATCCCGTTCTGCTAAACACACTTGAATTGGTTAAATATATCTACAGTGATGCACTGAACGAAAAAGAACTTGCAACCGTGTATGGTTACCAACATGCTTTGCCAGCATTAGGAAAAGCTCCTTTAAGGACACGTACAGAACCAGGAATATTTGAAAGCTGACTGCTGCCACCAACGCATGCCTGAGTTTTGCCTTGAACACTGCAGTGTCACTGCTGTTGGCACCGATACCCCCGGCAACCTCCACACTCACATCAGCTATAGTTACTACAGACAGACACAGCGCAGCATCCAAGAACACACATACAGAAACAATAAAACACTGAAAATCAGTTTATCAGATCCTTGCTGAAATTTTACCTTTTGCTGTATCATAGATCCCAAAGTAGGCAGCTCTATAGATGATGATGCCTTGGACAGAGACATTGAACCCTTGATACAAGCCACGCAGACCATCAGACTTGGTAATTTTGACTAGACAGTCCCCTAGACCAGAGAATTCTCTGTCTGCACCAGCTTTTCCGACATCAGCAGCCAGACGGGTTCTTGCAAAATCCAAGGGGTAGACAAAGCAGAGGGAAGTGGCTCCAGCTGCACCACCAGAAGCCAGGTTACCAGCAAAATACCTCCAGAATTGAGTGTGCTTGTCTACACCTCCCAAGAACACCTGCTTATACTTATCCTTGAAGGCAAAGTTGAGAGCTTGAGTTGGGAAGTATCTGATGACATTTGCCAAGTTTCCTCGCCAGAAAGACAGCACTCCTTGTTCCTTTGGAATACGCACTACACAATCGATGATACCCTTGTACTGCTTATCAGCAGCAATTTGTTTACTCGCATGTTGTACCTGCAAATAAAAAAAATATGTATTTTGACTGTATGCCTTGGCAGGCCTGCAGTACAGTTGGGCTGAAGTCCGCTTCTACTAGAAAACAAAGAGCTGTTAGGCCTGAATGCTTGATGGCATTTGTGCACAGAGATTAAGCCCCTGGGAGCCATGACAAACCAGCTGTGATAGCAAACTTCCAAGCAAAAGCTCTCAGGTCAGTCTGAATCTCAAGACTAAGAAGAACTGTCATTTATTTGTATTTTGGTGGAGACCCAAGAACTCGAGGATTGACTAAATTCTCAAGAATTAAAGGTATAGCTTTTACACAAACACTAAAGAAGCAGGTGTATGTAAAGCTGGTCTTGTACAATTCTAAGAACCAGAAAAAAGCCATAACGTCGCTTCCCAGTATCTTTAGAGCTTGGGATCTGCCAAAATCCGAAGGCCACCTGTGAGGAACCAGGGCGAGCACAAGTACCTGCGGGCTGAGCCTCTCCACAGGCGAGAGCCCTCGCTGACAGCGGCGCGGAGGCCTGCAGGCGGCGGGGCCGCCCGGCCCGACCGCATCGGGGCGAGAGGACTTCCAGCCGGAGGCGCTGGTGGCGGTGGGGAGTGGCGAGGCGGCCACCAGCCCTGGGCCCGCTGTCCCCTCCGCCCCGGCCAAGGTCACTAGAGTCACCTTGGGGCGCCCCCCACGCCCCGCCCCGCCCCACGGAAGGCGGGGAGGGAGGGG